GTCAAGGGAAGGGAAAGAAAAGACCGTTCTAGTCAAGGGAAGGAAAGAAAGAGGCCGTTCTAGTCAAGGAAGGAAAGAAAAGGCCGTTCTAGTCAAGGGAAGGGAAAGAAAAGTTGATAGTCAAGGAAGGGAAGAAAAGGTCGTTCTAGTCAAGGGAAGGGAAAAAGGCCGTTCTAGTCAAGGAAGGGAAAAAAGGCCGTTCTAGTCAAGAAGGGAAGAAAAGGCCGTTCTAGTCAAGGGAAGGAAAGAAAAGGCCGTTCTAGTCAAGGGAAGGGAAAGAAAAAACCGTTCTAGTCAAGGGAAGGGAAAGAAAAGGCCCGTTCTCCCGTAGTCAAGGGAAGGGAAAGAAAAGGGCCGTTCTAGTCATTGAGGGAAGGAAGAAAAGGGCCATTCTAAGTCAAGGGAAGGAAAGGAAAAGGCCGTTCTAGTCAAGGGAAGGGAAAGAAAAAAGGCCGTTCTAGTCAAGGAAGGGAAAGAAAAGGCCGTTCTAGTCAAGGAAGGAAAGAAAAGGCCGTTCTAGTCAAAGGGAAGGGAAAGAAAGGCCGTTCTATCAAGGGAAGGGAAGAAAAAGCCGTGCTAGTCAAGGGAAGGGGAAGAAAAGGCGTTCTAGTCAAGGAAGGGAAAGAAAAAAGCCGTTCTAGTCAAGGGAAGGAAAGAAAAGGCCGTTCTAGTCTCAAGAGGGGAAAAAAAAGGTCCGGGTAAAGAAAAGGCCGTTCGTCAAGGAAGGGAAAGAAAAAGCCCCGTTCTAGTCAAAGGAAGGGAAGAAAGGCCGTTCTAGTCAAGGGAAGGGAAAGAAAAAGGCCGTTTCTAGTCCAAGGGAAGGAAAGAAAAAGCCGTTTCTAGTCAAGGAAGGGAAAGAAAAGGCCGTTCTAAAGGAAGGGAAAGAAAAAGGCCGTTCTAGTCAAGAAGGGAAAGAAAGGTTCTTCCGTTCTAGTCAAGGAAGGGGAAGAAAAGGCCGTTCTAGTCAGGGAAGGGAAAGAAAAGGCCGTTCTAGTCAAGGGAAGGGAAGAAGAAAGGCCGTTCTAGTCAAGGGAAGGGAAAGAAAAGGCGTCTCTAGTCAAGGGAAGGGAAAGGCCGTTCTAGTCAATTCTAGTCAAGTCGTCGTCAAGGGAAGAAAGGAAAAAAGGCCGTTCTAGTCAAGGAAGTAAAGAAAAGGCCCGTTCTAGTCAAGGGAAGGGAAGAAAAGGCCGTTCTAGTCAAGGGAAGGGAAAGAAAAGCCGTTCTAGTCAAGGAAGGGAAGAAAGGCCCGTTCTAGTCAGAGAAAGGAAAGAAAAGGCCGTTCTAGCAAGGAAGGGAAGAAAGCCGTCTAGTCAAGGAAGAGAAGAAAAGGCCGTTCTAGGCAAGGAAAGGGGAAAAAAGGCCGTTCTAGTCAAGGGAAGGGAAAGAAAAGGCTGTTCTAGTCAAAGGGAAGGGAAAGAAAGGCCTTCTAGTCAAAGGGAATAAAAGGCCGTTCTAGTCAAGGGAAGGGAAGGAAAAGCCGTTCTAGTCAAGGGAAGGGAAGAAAAGGCCGTTCTCGTCAAGGAAGGGAAAGAAAAGGCCGTTCTAGTCCAAAGGAAGGAAAGAAAAGGCCGTTTCTAGTCAAGGAAGGGGAAGAAAGGCCGTTCTAGTCAAGGGAAGAAGAAAAGGCCGTTCTAGTCAAGGAAGGGAAAGAAAAGGCCGTTCTAGTCAAGGAAGGAAAGAAAAAAGAAAAGGCCGTTCTAGTCAAGGGAAGGGAAAAAGGCCGTTCTAGTCAAGGAAGGAAGAAAAGCCCGTTTCTAGTCAAGGGAAGGGAAGAAAAGCCGTTCTAGTCAAGGGAAGGGAAAGAAAAGATCGTTCTAGTCAAGGGAAGGGTAGAAAAAGCCGTTCTAGTCAAGAAAAGGAAAAAAAGGCCGTTCTAGTCAAGGGAAGGGGAAGAAAAGGCCGTTCTTTTCAAGGGAAGGGAAAGAAAAGACCGTTCTAGTCAAGGGAAGGGAAAGAAAAGGCCGTTCTAGTCAAGGGAAGGAAAGAAAAGGCCGTTCTAGTCAAGGGAAGGAAAGAAAAGGTTTCTAGTCAAGGGAAGGGAGAAAAGGCCGTTCTAAAAGGGAAGAAAAGGCCGTTCTAGTCAAGGGAAGGGAAAGAAAAGGCCGTTCTAGTCAAGGAAGGAAGAAAAGGCCGTTCTAGTCAAGGGAAGGAAAGAAAAGGCCGTTCTAGTCAAGGAAAGGGGAAGAAAAGGCCGTTCTAGTCAAGGGAAGGGAAGAAAAGGCCGTTCTAGTCAAGGGAAAGGAAAGAAAAGGCCGTTCTAGTCAAGGGAAGGGAAAGAAAAGGCCGTTCTAGTCAAGGAAGGGAAGAAAAAGGCCGTTCTAGTCAAGGGAAGGGAAAAGCCGTTCTAGTCAAGGGAAGGGAAAGAAAAGTTCTAGTCAAGGAAGGGAAAGAAAAGGCCGTTCTAGTCAAGGGAAGGAAAGAAAAGGCCGTTCTAGTCAAGGGAAGGGAAAGAAAAGGTTCTAGTCAAAGGGAAGGGGAAGAAAAAGCGTTCTAGTCAAGGGAAGGGAGAGAAAAGGCCGTTCTAGTCAAGAGAAGGGGAAGAAAAGGCCTTTCTAGTCAAGGGAAGGAAAGAAAATTCCATTCTAGTCAAGGTCAAGAGAGAGAAAAAAAAAACGCTTTATCCTTTAAGTCACAGTCAGGTAAAGAAAATGTCCTTCCGCTAAAATTCTCTTTTTTCGCAACCGAGCTCCCTGCCTTTCTGAAAGTCTGAACACGTCACCGTTCGTGGATAATCTTAATCTCCATGACTGAGGACATTTTCAATCCATTATGTTAATGTGTTTCTAAAGGATTACTGTGCCGTGTATGCCGTTATTAATTTCGGATAAACGGAATACACGTTTTACAACTTTCACTCTCCATTTGATTTGTTTTATCTGATAATTGAGTAAGTGTTAATAGATGAGGGACTACATTCCAAGCGGAATTTATTAATCTATTTTTCTGCAGTCTGGCAGCATGGATAGTCCGAAATGTATTTCCTTCGAGATTAGGAATATTAGTCAAACAATTCTGATAATGATAATGATAATTCTGATAATGATGATGATGATGATGATGATGATGATGATGATGATGATGATGATGATGATGATGATGATGGTGATGATGATAATGATGATGGTGATGATAGGAAAGATGATGCTTCATGATATCAATAATAATAATAATTCTAACAATAATAGAAGTACCAACCAAAATAAACAAACAAAACCAAGCATAATCGAAGCACGACCCCCCCCCCCCCCCACCCCTCCCAGAACTCGGACGACCGCAACCGCAGTGTATCGATGGTGAGCTTCACGCCCGCACCCACCGACGACGGCGCCCGGCTCGAGTGCTCCGCCTTTAACCCCGTCATGGCCTCCGACAGTAGTCCCCAGCAGAGCCACGCGGACGCCCAGATCCTCGACGTCAATTGTGAGTACTGATTGGGGGATGAGTGTGGGGTTTGGGGAGATTAGATGGTGAATGTGTGTGTGTGTGGGGGGGTTCATACAGATAGATATTATATATGTATATATATATATATATATATATATATATATATATATATATATATATATGAATAAGTATATGGATACACACACACACACATACACACACACACACACACACACACACACACACACACACACACACACACACACACACACACACACACACACACACACACACACACACACACACACATTCACACACACACACATCGCACACATAAACACACACACACACACACACACACACACACACACACACACACACACACACACACACACACACACACACACACACACACACACACACACACACACACACACAACACACAATATATATATAGCACTTCCCCCAAAAAAAATCACTTCCTCACTTGAAGTCCTCAACACGTAATAATCATGTTTTCTGATCCACTGATTACTGACATGGAATCCTCTAGAAATGACAATATTCAGGTTTTCTGACTGCGATCCTCTACAATCCTCACCTTGAATCCTCACTAGGAATCCTATAGGTATGATGACATTTAATGCCATCTTTTCCGGTGGCAATTAGGGTGCTGCTCGACGCGCCGCGACACCAAAAGCTTTCTCGTTGCATTGGCGAGACACGTTGTTAAGCTCCGCCCACTTTTGTGACGTAATGAGATTGGCTGCAATTGACGGCTAGCTGTTCTACTGTTCTGTTTATTTTTTCGCCCGGCACACAGTGTTTTGGAATATAATATCGTAGATGGCTTTTGATATCTTATGGTGGGTTGAGCTGTGTTAAAGATATCTAATATAATCACGAATATGCATGAAAATAACCGAGTTAAGAGGAATGCATCTGGCACCCTGATAAATGTTTACCACGCTCGATTTCTTTTTCGCGCGAGTGTGCTGTAAACACAGGAAAAGACGACCATGTTCTTTTGGAATCCTAAATTAGAATTGTCACTTTGAATCCGGAAATCAAATAAGATTCACGTTTTCTGACCATGGTCCTTTGAAATCTTGAATTAGAGTCGTCATTAGAACTCTAAATATAATGATATTCAGGTTTTCTGCTCCTGCTCCTTTCGAATCCTCTACACAATATGATATTAAGGTTTTCTGATCGTACTCTTTTGGTAACCTCACTTAGTATCCTCTATACATAATAGCATTAACTGAGCTTACTCCTTTGAAGTCTTCTACCAATAACTATTTTAAGATCACTTTAACTTCCTATCTATTAACCAAACCCTTCAGT